TATATGTATATGTATATGTATATGTATATGTATATGTATATGTATATACACTACTCAAAAAAATAAAGGGAACACAAAAATAAGACATCCTAGATCTGAATGAATGAAATATTCTTACTAAATACTTTGTTCATTACATAGTTGAATTTGCTGACAACAAAATCACACAAAAATTATCAATGGAAATCAAATCTGGATTTGGAGTTACACTCAAAATTAAAGTGGGAAGAAACACTACAGGCTGATCCAACTTTGATGTAATGTCCTTAAAACAAGTCAAAATGAGGCTCAGTAGTGTGTGTGGCCTCCACGTGCCTATATGACCTCCCTACAATGCTTGGGCATGCTCCTGATGAGGTGGCGGATGGTCTCCTGAGGGATCTCCTCCCACACCTGGACTAAAGCATCCCCCAACTCCTGGACAGTCTGTGGTGCAACGTGGCATTGGTGGATGGAGCGAGACATGATGTCCCAGATTTTTTCCATTAGCCTCTCGTGTTTTAACGGCTTGGGTAATGAGTTGTGTGATGGGCTTGCGAGTTCTTTTGTTGTGGTATCCTGGGTCCTGTGTTGTAATCTCCTGGGTTGTTTGTGTTTTGATCTCTTTTCCATTAGTCTCCTGTGTTGTAATAGCTTGGGTAATGGGTTGTGTGATGACCTTGTGAGATTTATTGCTGTGGTATCCTTGGTCTTGTGCTGTGATTTCCTGGGTCATTTGCTGTGTTACAACTTCTTGAGTTTTTGTAGTGTAATTTCCTGAGTTTTCTGATGTGATATCCTGAGTGGGTGGCTGTGATGTAGCATTCTGGGTTTTGGTCTGGCTTCGAGTTTGGGGTCTGGGTCTGTATTCTTGGCGTGTGTCAGCTTGTTTGGTTTTGGGGTCGGGGGGTGCGACAGCTGGTGAAGCAGCCATGGTCTGGTGGTTGTCCTTCGTTTATAGGATGGGTTTGGGCTTGGGTCTGATGAAGGGGATTGGTGGTGGTGTCCCGTGTTGTAATGGAAGAGACTAATGGAAAAAAGATCACTACAAAACAAACGACCCAGGAGATTACAGCACAAGATCCAGGATATCTCCACAACAAAACTCACAAGGCCATCACACAGCCCATTATACCAACATCAACTCCATCAACCAATCAAGAGGCAGCAGCGCAGCCAACCAGCCCAGCACACCAGCCCCCACCACCAGTATTTATAGAGAGACGGCAGCTCCGATCACACACTGCTTGCACTGGCATGAAGCCAAAAGCACCAGCCTGAGGATGGCGAGTGGGACCTCACCAAAACGTCGCCAAGATACTCTCAATCTTACATGGGAAAAGACCCAAACTCGCCAAGACCTGCAGATATGTGTGTGTGTATGTAACAATTCAGTATATGTTCGAAGAACCATAGAGGACTTGAGGACAATAGATTACTAAATTATTTGGTAGAAATAATCCATGAGGTTAGTAGAGTCACTTCAGTTTATTTGAAAGTTCTTCCACACAGATTTCCCTTCTGCAAATTCTCTCTCTCCCTCCCTCCCTCTTGGACAGAGAATAGTTTGGACAGAGAATAGTTCCTTCCTTATATCTATTGATTTTCCAAAGATCATTTTTCTACCTGTTCTCTAAAATGATACAATCCAAGAACAGCTGTAACACTAGATTCTAGAACTGAAATGTGAATAAACTATAACCTTTCGGGATAAAAGAGAAAAGATGTACTCTCTCTCATTAATGCCATTGTTCAGTAAATATATATACTATACCCTGAAAGAGTATATTATGGTAAGAAGCAGGCTGTATGAAAAGTACCAAAGGACAACTCCTGTCTCACCTGTGATTATTGTGCTTACGTTGTAGAAAATGTTCTTGCAAAATCAAATCAAATTCATAAACTTGACACATGTTATTTATATCTTTATTCTATTTATGTGGCTGCCCATTTCACAAAAATCTGACTTTGGGTGCCATACAATAAAAAAAATGAAATAATATTTAAAAAATCCCCACAATTAAAACATTATTGTTATTAAAAGGCTAAGTGAGAGCATCAGATTGTTTAAAATGAGCCACCTCATTAAATCACCATTTCCTTCAGACCCATAAGCCTGTTGACACTTCATGTTTTGAGGGACACCTGAAAAGATAACTAGGATGGGGCCATTCTCACCTGGGGTGGTGAAGGGAGATGATGTTCCACAGGGTGGGTGCCACAGCAGGAAAAAAAATATTCTAGAGACAAGGCAGGAATCATTTGTATCTACATTACCAAGAATACTGGATTTACTAACTGGCACTATGATGTTGTTGCGCTGTGGAAATTTGAGGCCACAAGGGAAGTATTTGCCACTGGTCTACCCAGGGTCCGGTTTCCTTTGGCATTTTTTGTCTCCTCCCTATGATGTTCTACTACTACCGTCAGACAAAAAGAATGAACTTTTCCCAGAGGACCATGGTTCAGCCTTGTACTCTTTTCTGATCTATGATCGTAATAAAAATATTTCATTGGATTGGATTCATCGTGGACTCTTGCACGCTATTAACTCTCAGAAAATCTGGACCTGTATTTCAATTGGACAGTTTTGACCTGCTTATCTTTTGTAACCTTCTTTACTCTTGAGTAATTTTTCCACAGCAGATAAATTAGATTTATGTTCACAGGGTAGTTAATAAAAGAATGAGCCTAATTCTCACGAATGTTCTTTCACAAAATGGTTGCCAGCCTGTCTAATCAAACAACCATCATGGTTAAAATATTGGACTAAGCCTGGGAAGGTGCAGTTTCACATGGAAACTCACTGTGTGACTTTTGGGCCAATTACTCACTCTCAACCATCTTGTGGCAATCAATTGCAGGGATAGCCCCATATAAACTGTCTTGAGCTCTTGGAAGAAAAGCAGGATAGAAATATAACTAATAAGTAATAAATAACAGTACATAAGAATAATATAAACTAAACAAGACAAACAGAACGATAATGTTTTTAAAAAACAGAAGCATTGCTCCTTTGGGGAGTATATCACCATTATGAAGAAAATGATTTATCTTGAGCAGTGGTGGGATTCAAATATTTTTACCATCGGTTTGGTGGGTGTGGCTTGGTGGGCACGCTTTGCACACGTGCACACACTTTGTGTACATGCGCCAAACACACACTTTGCCCAGACGCAGGGGCATTTGTGCAGGCGCAGAGGCGTTCTAACTCACCTCCTGAAATCCTGCACAATCCCGGTCGCTTCAGCAGCTGCCGCGCAACACTCTTCTGTGCCACGCAAAGCAGCTGCGCTTCAAATTCAGAGGATAAAGGTGAGTATGGGACAGGGTTGGGATTCAAATTTTTTAACAGCCGGTTCTGTGGGTGTGGCTTAGGTGGTGGGCATGGCTTAGTGGTCATGTTATTGGCTGGGTGTGGCCTACTCAATATCACTCACATCAAGGCACGCATCTCCTCGCCTGGCCTCTCATGACTGTGGGGATGCTGCAACAGTTGTAAGTGTGAAAAATGGTCATAAGTCACTTTTTTCAGTGCCATTGTAACTTTGAATGGTCACTCCACACAAGCAAAGTACCAGCAAAGGAGGGGAAAAACACTCCAGAGACGTTCCTGAGACAGGAAATCTAGTCTTGCCAAGAACGTAATAAGGGTTAACGGAGAGGCAGTTTCTGTAAGCAACACCAGAATGTTTCCTTCCTGCCTTCCTTACAGGATTAGGCCAGTAATTTCCTCTAACAACCGGTTCTCCGAACTGCTTAGAATGTTAATAACCGGTTCTAGCGAATAGGTGCGAACTGGTAGAATCCCACCCCTGGTATGGAAGCCTGGGCAGGCGGGTGGGCCCAACAGCAGAGCGACAGAGAGAACTAGTTCGGTTTCAGCTGCTCATTGCTGCTACCGGCTCAGCAGAACCAGTAGAATACCACCCCTGATCCTGAGCCTTAGTGGGGCAATTGACCATCTGGTTGTTATTTCCAAATTAGCAAGAAAACAAGGACCAAGGAGGAAGAGTAAATTAAATGCAATGAAATGATGACCAGTCTGAAGGCAAACTTTCAGCTATCCACTGACACTCAATAAACCATCCACCCATCTTTTCGGACCAGGATTGAAAAACGGGGCGGTTTACCAAAATCAAGTGGCAAGCAGGCTGCATTTGTTTCTCTGGAGGTCACAGGTGAGTCCAGCTTCCTCTGGAAGACAGGTGAGTAGCCCTTCAACTGCAAGCTAGATCTTACCCAGGCCAAGGGCACAACTCAGGTGAATCTGCAGGGACTTTGGCTCTCCTTCTTACTTTCCTAGGCATTCCTGCCCTTATATGGCAAAGGCTGGTGGCGACAGAGGGAAGGAAGGAACAAAGGTTGCCCTGGCACTTCCTCTGTTCAGGCACAGTCTTTCTCCAAGGTGCTGCGTGCCCACTAAGCAGACACCCCAGCCAAGGTAAGACGTTTCTTCTGGGGATCTAGAGGGACAGCTCCCGGCACTGGCCTCACCGGGCCTGATCAGGAACTGTGGGGAATGGGTTGTGTGTGTGTGGGGGTGTTGCAGTCTGCTGGAGCCTGACCCCCAGCTTCTCCTTGCTCCAACTTGGTTTATATAATCCCACGGTTGCCCTGCTCAAAGATAAGGACTGAAAGCTGTGTGTTTGCAGTGTGATAGCTGAGACAAACCACAAGCTTTACAATCCAAACAGGAGGTTTTTCTCTGGAGCTGCTCTCATCCCTTGAGCTCTCCCGTGCTGTCATTGGTTCTCCCAGGGTGAGAAGCCTTTCTGAACTGATGATAACGGAATCCCCCTGCGTGTAAATCTTCATTTTGTACCGATAAAGGAGAATATTCGATAAAGGAGAATATTCGCAGCTCAGGGGTGACATGAGGGGTCCTTGGTGCTCTCTGAGGTCTCTTGTTTCCTTGCAGATATTTCATTACCTAAACTAGATAACATCATCAGTTACCTAGTTTGGGTAATGAAGACAAGCGAGCTCAGAGAGCATCAAGGACCCTTCTGAAAAGGCTGGACAGACGGTCTAGCTAGAGAATCAGTGTGAACCTTTGGAGGGAGAAAGAGTCACGTTCAGGAAGGAAGGAAGAAGCTTCCCACAGACCATAGATGTGTTGGGCCATGCTTTGGATGAAAGGGAATTGCCCCCCCCCCCCCTCAAAAATGCAGAATGAAGAGTCTCAGATTCAGAAAGTACCAAGTGAACTTCTCCATGGGATCCTAAGAAGGTTTCTCTGAAGGATGTCATTTGAGAATTAGGGACCCTAATGAGATAATAGCTGCATTTGCTTAGATTTGCCCTATTTCAAGCAACAGGTGGGTAATGGTATAACAGATATCGGGAATATCAGTTCTCCAACAACAGCTGAAGCTTTTGGGTCTCTATTATCAGTCAGGTTTAACTACACAGGTAATTGTTGACTTATGATCACAATTGAGCCCAACATTTCTGTATCTAAGGAAGACAGTTATTAAGTGAGTTTTGCCCCATTTTACGAGCTTTCACACCACAGGGAATCCCTGCATTTGTAAAAAGGGTAATGCGGTTCTTAAATGGATCTTAGCTCCATTTGAAGGCTGCAAAAGGTGATCACAGGACCTTGAGCCATTGCAACTGTCATGAATACATACCAGTTGCCAAGCGTCTAAATTTTGATCATGTGACCATGGGGATGCTGCAACTGTCATACAGATAAAAATTGTCATAAGTCACTTTTTTCAGTGCCGTAGCAACTTCAAATAGTCACTAAATAAATGGTTGTAAGTCAAGGAGTACCTGTATCACCACATTTGATTAGCCCTACTTCCAGTTGATAAGCCCTACTTCCAGCGGTTGTTAACTTTCTGAGCAGTTTGGTGAGCTGGTTGTTGGAAGAAACCATTAGGGCAGAGAACCACTTGTTAAATTATTTGAATCCCACCCCTGCCTACTTCTTATATTGAACCCTGATATAAAGTTCAGCTACTTTGAGAAAAGAATTCAATGGTTTAAAACTGAAGCAATTTAAAAATTATATTATGTTAGCCAATCAAGAAAGTTGATCATTGTCAACATGATAGCAAACTATGCTAGACATAGCAATCTCCCCCCATTGAATTGCAAAAGGCATTCCCACTGATTCTGCTGCTTTATTCCAGATAATATTTATTAATGTTTCCAAGAGTGAGGGAAGTGAGGGAATGAATACAGCCCAGGAGTGCAAGGAGAAAGCCCCAAATGTAATTCCTGACCTCCCCAGATAATGCTGGAAGAGATTCCCATCTGAAATCATGCTGCCAGTCAATGAAAAAAATACTGAATTAAATGGATCAGTGATTTGTCTTGATAAAGGTTTCCATGCTCCTCTTCCAGAATTTGGGATTGTTTTCCTCAGAAATTGTCTGAAATTGTCAAATGCACAACAACAAAAATATAGTGTCTTCCAAGCTTAATTAAATCTATTTTTAAGATTTCTATGCATGTTACTGAAAAAGCATATACATAAGGAAATTACACAAATGTCCTGCAGCAGTAATTGTGCATTAAGTGCACTGATAATTATATCTCACATTGGAATTTTTCTCCTTACTGGAAAATTCCCAAGGATGCTCAAAGGCCCGACCAGAAACTCACAGAGTAGAGGAAGGCAAAACCTTGTGTGCTCTCAGTCTCTCTTAAGATATATACTTCACTGAGTTCATCTACCTAATAATTAAGATCGTAATTCTCCAAAACGGCACTTGCTAACTATTGACGCTCAAGCTGTACAGGTTTAGCATCCCAAGGAAGTACGAAGCATTCATTTAAGCGCATGAGCTGAATGAATACAAATGGTAAGATATTCCGTGTTTGTCTTTTTTTAAAAAAATAAATAAGTTAATTAGCAATATCCAACTAATTAGAATCGAGTATACTGTAGAGATGAAGCCTGGGGATTCCAAGGCTGGTCGAGTTACATCTGGAAAGTTCAAATGTCACTTGGCACATACTATTTTTGTCCTGGGCTGTTGCTAATGTTCTTTTCCATCCCCTGTCCAAATCCAGCTACAAAGGATTAGTCACCATGCCGGAACTTAATACCAAAGTCACCAAGACTCTGAACAAAACCACACCTGGACTTCAAATATGGAGAATTGAGGTGAGAATGAATGTGAATATGCATAAAAGTGCACATGGATGGATGGACAGTAGTCCATAGAACGGATGGACAGATGTACTCTGTAGAAGAAACCAGCAGTTGATGGCATTTTTATATTCCAATATTCCACCAAGAGCTATTCAACTTGTAGCTTCCCAAAGGGTGAAACCAGCCTCAGGAAAATCAAGAAGGTGTTACCAAGATCTAATGTTAATATTACAGAAAAAGGGATTCTTTAAAGAACAAGACCGAACATACTGGCTACCTTTAATAAATTCAAATTTAAATGGTTATTTTGGCCTTATCCGTTAGGCTTTTATAGTAATGTTCTTGTGGATTATAATCATAACAGCAAAAACGAATGCAAACTGGAAAAAAAAAATAGAAAGAACTGTTTACACTAGTAACTCAACAGCTGGTAGTCAATCCGCTATTTTAAGAAATAATCCGGGCATGTTTTATGGGAAACAATTTTCAGGGGGAAAAAAATGTAAGTCAAGGAAAGGGTTAAGACTCAGCAGGCCTACAGTGCTGCCCCCTCCCTTCCACCCTTCTTGTCATGTTTCCCAACTTAATTCTGCTCTACATATTTGACATTTATACAGGAAGCCACTTGTGACTAGCCTGCTCTGTACGCTAAGCAAGGCTACCTTATACAGGTAGTCTTTGACTTACAACTTTTTATTTAATGACTGTTCAAAATTACAACCTTCACTGAAAAATGTGACTTACAACCTGGAGCTGGAGCAAGCAACAGGAGTTCACCCTGTCGTGCAGCGTTTCAGGTCTCAAACCTGGGCTGTCCATTTTCAGCTGTTAAGATCAGCCCTACCCCCAGACTATCTGTATGGGATGCAAAATCCAGGCAACTATTAATTGGTAGCAAATGCCTTGATGCCATCTAGAGGCTTCCTGGATTTTTGCAGCCAAGTTTTGATAATCCTCATGGCAGACAGAAGGGTTTTTCCTCTCCATGCAAAAGGCAGCTTTAAAGAAAGGATCCTCCTGCAAGTGTAGAAGGGGGAAAAAAAAGATTGAATTATCCCTTCCTGTTGACCAGTGCAATTCTTTCAATATCTCTGGGTTCCAGCAGATGCTATTTGCATGCATAGTTTTCTAAAGTAAAATGGATCTCATTTTGCAGCTAAGCAAAGTGATCAAGCTTTTATTAGCCAATTCCAAGCTTGCTGGCTTGTTAGGAGACCTGACCAGTGGGAACAGAGAGGTGGGCATGTTGGTGAAGGCTCCCCTCCTATGAAACAGCTCCATTCAGGGCCAAGAACAGCCTCTTCCCTTGTGGTGGCTCATAAAAAACCCTCTCTGGTTTTTTTTGCTTATTCTGGAAGACCTTCAGCAAACAAGAATGTGAGGCTGTGAATGAACATTGATGGATAATGAGTGCATTGTATAATGCTTGTTATTTTACACAATGAGGACCGTTGTGTTGTTTCAATAACTGGTTTTAATGATGTGCATTGTTGAAGTATAAACGGCTTAGAGCCGTCTAAAACTCAGGTAATACAATATTGCATAAACAAATCAGAATGGCCAGGAATTATATTCTGTATCAACTTTCCCCACCTTCCCCATCAAGAAAAAATCAGGAGATCCTGTAAAAAATTTAGAGAATTTTCAGAAGGAGAAGGATAGTATTATCTGGCTGCAATATGGTTGAATATATAGGATTCAAGTGAAGGACAGAAAAAATTGTCCCAATCAGTGCTTTTCAAAAGGCAACTGGACATTCTTGGGTATTTTTTTCTTCCTTGAAGACATTTCGCTTCTCATCCAAGAAGCTTCTTCAGTTCTTCAGCCTCTTGGATGGGAAGCGAAATGTCTTCAAGGGGAAAAAAAAATACCCAAAAATGTCCAGCTGCCTTTTGAAAAGCACCTTCGTTTGGGGCAACTGTGACCTGGATGACTGGGAATCTCCATAGGCAGAAAAGATATATTTTAAAAGCCGAAGAAATTTGCTGGAAAAACAAGCAGAACAAGTAGAGAGAATACAGATAGTCCCCAACTTACAACCATTCCTTTAGTGACCTTTCTAAGATACAATGGTACTGGAAAAAGTGACTTGTGACCAGTTTTCACACTTATGACCATTGCCAGGGTCACGTGATCGCATTTTGGGCGCTTGGCAACTGGCATGTATTTATGACAGTTGCATGGTCCCAGGGTCACATGATCACCATTTGTAACCTTCCCATCCGGCTTCTGACAGGCAAAAGCCAGATTCACTTAATGACTGCATGATTCACGAACAATGGCAGTGATTCACTTAACAGCTGTAGCAAAAAAATATGTGTAAAATGGGACAAACCAAAGGTGGTATTCAGCAGGTTCTGACCAGTTCTGAAGAACCGGTAGCGGAAATTTTGAATAGTTCAGAGAACTGGCAAATGCCACCTCTGACTGGCCCCGCCCCCATCTATTCTCTGCCTCTCGAGTCCCAGCTGATAGGCTGGGTCTTCTTTTGTTGTCCTGCACAGGAGAACAGAGCTGCAAAGCAGGTTAGTGGGGTGGGGAGAGAATGGAGATTTTACAGTAACCTTCCCCTGGAGTGGGGTAGGAATGGAGATTTTGCAGTATCCTTCCCCTGCCATGCCCACCAAGCCACAACCACCAAGCTATGCCCACCAAGCCACGCCCACAGAACTGGTAGCTAAAAAATTTGAATCCCACCACTGGGACAAACCTCACTTAGCAACTGCCTTGCTTAGCAATGGGAATTGGGCTTAACCGTGTTGTAAGTCGAGGGCTAAACTGTACATGAGAGATCTAGTTTTTTTGTTTTTAAGCCTCCTGATTCTTTCCCCCCGTTTTCCTTCCAGAACATGGAGATGGTGCCCATACCACCCAAGACCTACGGGAACTTCTATGAAGGGGATGCCTATATTGTGCTTTCGGTAAAAGGAACTAAGAAAAGGAGAGGGGGTGTTTCGTATCCCGTGAACTATGCGGGCTGAATGCTGGGACATAATAAGCTCAGAGGGAGGAAGGTGGCTTACATGGAAGTTTGTGCACAACTAGGGACAAATCTAAAAACGTTTGACACAGATATGCAAAGCTTGCTTTTTTTACAAGGGAAGTGCAACTAATCCTGGACGATTGATAGTGCAGAATTAGAACAGGAGGAATGTTGCCTACTCTTATTACTGGTTATACATTAACACGGGGCTATCTGCCAGAGCTTATGTATAACTCTCATTAAACGGCAGGTAGTTTTCAAAACCACTCCTATTTACGTTCCCATCTTTCGATCATTTCTTTAGGTCAAAAAGCAAAATTTTGTTTTCTTGCTGTTTTTTTTTGTCAAAACTTGCCATGGTTGATCATTATATTGATTTTATATATCAGGAGTCCCCAACCCTTGGGCTGCAGCCCACTCCAGAGCCTTGAACAATTTGGAACCAGACCATGGAAGGGGCGTGCAAGAACGTGTATGCGCATTCCCACTAGCACAAGTGCCATGTGAGCACGTGCACACACTCCCTTTGCACTTGTGTCAAATAGAGCTGTGTGTGCTTGCCTGCCACATACTGTCCCCTCTCCCCCCGCCTCCCACCCTGGCCGGTCTGCAAAGCCGTAAAGAACCGTTGTTATATATTATGTAGTAGTAGTGGTGGTGGTGGTAGTAGTAGTAGTAGTAGTAGTCTTAGTAGTTAATGCAAAATGTATGAGTACATAGGTCTTGCTTAAAATCTGCGCATAGGTGAAAAACTGTTGAAAGCTGATGCAGCAGGTATTGCAGAGAAGACTGTAATTAATCAAGACACAGTGCACACCCAGGTCAAAGCTCATCTCTGGCATTAATTTTCAGGTGTGGTTAGGCACCACTCTTACTCAAACTGGAAATAATAATTTGTCTCTGCCTTATGTTAAAAGATTTCTTTTGAATCACTACAAGATAATTGGTTAGAGCTAAATTTAATCAGAATTGGCTATGGAATTTTCCAATGACTTCGATTAATCTGCTAGAAGTATTTAAGTACAAAAAGAGCTTTGAACAGTCTAAAGTCAAGTGATAAATTAAAGCTTGGTTTTTTTTCTCATTTATTTTAAAAGCTATTACACTTTAAATCTTCTTTAAATGTTAGCTCAACTACTATGCTGTTTGTGCTTATTGGAAACTGCACTGAAAGTTATATTTGGCCAAAAACTAGGGTGGACATCCAAAATCTATTTCCCATATTCTATTCATTCCTACCTTTTTATTATTTGTGAAATGTGAGCATACACATCTCTTTACATTGTACATATTCTGGATTATTGACATAATGATGACCTGAAATGCAGATACTAGTATAAGAGATGGGTAGAGGCACAGAAGAAATTGAGTTAGATCAAAGCCCAAACCCTGTAATACCTTATTCTTTTGCATATGATACAAGCAGGTTAAATGTTACAAGCTTACCAAGACAGCTGAGCATTAAAAAAGAGAGCCAGGACTTGGGAGTTTTGAATAACAATAGAAAAATATAAGTGAAATGCAACAGTGGGTTGCTATTCATAGTAGTAAGCAGTCCTTAATATCATGGGTGGCACTGTGTTGTTTACAGAACTGAGTTTAGCTTTTCAGGGTTTTGAAACAAACAAACTTGATTTGATCTTAGCTCATTCTTTTTTCTAACTCAGACAAACAAGATTCAGAATACGTTCACCTATGACATCCATTTCTGGCTGGGCAGTTCATCATCTCAGGATGAACAAGGTGCAGCTGCCATCTACACAACACAAATGGATGAGCACCTGGGTGGAGCTGCTGTACAGCACCGGGAGACTCAAAATTATGAGAGTGACACATTTCGGAGTCACTTCAAGCAAGGCCTTGTGTACGTAAGGCTCTGGGCCATCTTTTTGGGACCAGTCTGCATAATTCTGGTGACTTACCCAGCACCCAGCTGGGGCTGAAATAGAGCTGCCCATGCTGAATAGATCAACATCAATAGTTATCTTGATTAGCAACAGCTGCCCTAAGTAGCTCTGCTATGGATTTAGAAATATGTCTGTTTTTCATGTGTTTTCCAAATGCAATTTTGGTCTTCAATATTTGGAATTAAGAAAAACAAAACAGAACAGAACTAATGTGGATGGGCAGAGCTACCACGATTATAGGGTGAAACTTAGAATTGGTTTAGTAGTGGCAGCAGGACTTTCCTGAAGACCTATGTAGCCGATAACAGAGCTTTGGATTGATCTGAAGCTCTGTTATCGACTGCAGAGGCCTTCAGAAAAGCTTTGCTGGCTGCAGAAGAAATGGGCCCAGGTGTGCAAGGCCTAGCTGCAACTATCCGAAGGCTGAAGAAGTTACTGAAGGCCTCTAACAGTGAAGAGGAAGCTGGGGGTGATGCATCCAAAGTGAGGTGGGTCAGTGGACGACACCCCCCTCTGAAAATAAGACCTGGTGCCTTTTTTTGGTGACGAAAAAAAAATAAGACAGGGTCTTATTTTCGGGGAAACACAGGTATGAATATTTGTGGATTATGATTTAGTTCATATGGGGACTCCAAACTCTGATATGCTTAGCCACATTTTGTTGGATAAGCTATGCTTGTTGGGTTCACACAACATGCTAAGCCATACATCATAGCTTCTGTTCAGAATGGCTAGGCTCACACAAAAGGGAGCATGCCGTTTTGTGACTTAGTGTGATATTTATGACAAGGAGCAGCTTGAAAAAAAGGTGATTGCCTAAATGGCCTGAAGATAGAAATAGGAAGCATGAAAAACATGAAGGCGTACATGGAATTAGATAGTAAAAAAATATCTGGTTATTTTACATACGACAACCGGGGAAACATTTTCCCCCCCTTTTGTGGAGAGACTGAACTTGTTATCGTGGTGGAGTTATATCTTTTGCAGTCCACAATATGACCCTGTATTTCTTCTGCAGCTATAAGAAGGGTGGTGTGGCCTCAGGTATGAAACACGTGGAAACCAACACTTACAACGTGCAACGGCTACTGCATGTCAAGGGGAAGAAAAATGTAGTGGCTGGAGAGGTAGGTCAGAGATCAAAGGGGAAGGGGACGGCAAGGACTAGTAGATGAGCTGCTAATAAAAGCTCCTGGGTTAAAATACCAGGTTCTTTAGATACCATTTATGAAGGTGCTAAAACATCATATTCATCCCTGTACACTGGCATGATACAAATCTTCTATGAAATGTTTACTTTTTTTAGATGTGCTAGCACTTTTATCCTCACGACATAGCCATGCGATCACTACTTTTGCAAATGTTGTGCTTCCGTCTTTGGTAAAGTCTTCTACTCTCCCCCACCCCAGAACATCCCCCTCTGAGAATCCAGCTGTGCTTCCTTTACAGTTAGTCTTCTCTCATCTCTGCTCTTGTCTTGAATAGGTGGAGATGAACTGGAACAGCTTCAATTTGGGAGATGTCTTCCTGTTGGACTTGGGGAAGCTCATCATCCAGTGGAATGGTCCTGAAAGCAACCGTTTGGAACGGCTGAAGGTGGGTCAGGTGGAAATGGAGGAAGCTGGGTGGAGAGGCAGGGAAAGAGGAGATTGGATGTTGAGCTTTGCACAATGATGGGTATAAGGAAATTTGATACCTGAAATCGAAAAGCAAGAACCCATATAGCTAACAGAACATACATGTTAGAAACTGAAGTTGGGAGCAAATGTAGCCACTACCAGTATATCATCTGTATTGTTTTGTTTATGTGTATTTTTTGATATTTGGTTATATTGTTTTGGGTTGGTGGTGGTTGTGGTTTGTTGGTATATGTTTACGTATTGTTAGCCGCCTAGAGGCTCTGTGTTGAGATGGGTGACATAAATCACTTAAGGAAAAAAAGGAAAGAGAACAATGGGATAATTTCTTTCTTTTTCAAAGGCTGCCATGGAATATTTACTGAATCATCTTGAGAAATACTTCACTTTGGAAGCAAACAGCCACTCAGGAATAGAAATTCAATGCATTCAAAAAGCTATTTTTTGTCATTTTTGTCCATTCTATTCCTCAAATAGGTATACTTAACCACAAGATATTGAAATGTCTCTTAATTATGTGAATTTGCAAAAAGAGAGAAAAGAAATAGAGATTGCTGTGGAATTGTAAACGGTTCATCTTTGGAAATTGCATCTCTCCTTAGCAACACCCCCCCCCACCCCGGGTTATATTCTAGACATAAGATTTTTCAGGACATGCCCTTTGCTTTTTTGAATCAATAGCACAAATAAACAGGAGAGAGTATGAAGAATATTTTGAGTACGTACATGCTACATGTTTAGTAATATAGCTTAGCCAATTTTAAAGCTGATGCTTTCTTTGTTCTCCATTTCTCCATATGTTAACTAGCTTCTAGTTTATTTCTACACCCATGAACAACTCAAGAATGCCTTCACTTTGAACAACATTCTCATAATTTACTTTCTTCAGAAATTTCCACTCATCTGTCCTCCAAATTCTGTTGCATGAAAAAAAGTCATGCTCACTTTCTTCCTGTAGCAGGAATGAAATCAAATGTCAAGGAATCTACTGTATGATTGTTTCAAAATCCAGAGATCTCTATGAGTTACTTGAAGTTGCCAAATTCTTGGTCTCCCTGTGTATGTGTGTGTGTGTGTGTGTGAGAGAGAGAGAGAGAGAGAGAGAGAGAGTGACACAAGCATGTAGGGCTTGAGCCACAATCAAGTAACCGGTTTTATTTCTATAACTCTTTATTAGTTCAGCATTATTCTGATTTTCTTTTGCAACTTCTAACATTGGCTTGAGATGGTGACCTTTTCCATAGGGCATGAATCTAGCCAAGGACATTCGTGACCGAGAGCGTGGTGGCCGAGCACAGGTGGCTATAGTGGATGGTGAAAATGAAGATGCATCTCCTGCACTCATGAAAATCATGTTCTATATGCTTGGAGAGAAGAGAAACATCCAACCGGCCATTCCAGATGCTGTAGTGGACCAGAAACTGAAATCCTCTCTAAAGCTATACCAGTGAGTATTACTAGCAGGTTATTCTGGGAGCCAGAGGTAGGCAAAGATGTTGCGTGGACGATATAATTGCAGGAAAGAAGGACAAATCTTTAGGTGCAAATGGGAATGATCATTTCCTCAGTATTCAAGAAAATAAAGGTTCACTATAAAGCATTTTTACCCTTATTCTGCAGTGACGTTGCATTAGCCAAATAACTCTCTACTGAATAGGGGCTGTACTTAATGCTTTTAGAAAGATGAGGGCAGAAACATGGCAAGCAGGACAATAATACAAAGATGTCATACGATACATGTGGGTGAATCCACTATTTTGTTCTCTTGCACGTCTACCAAATACAGCATTAGAGGATATTTACATAAATAAAATGCTATTTTAAACTTTTATGTTCCCACCTCCAAGCGATGAAAGGCCGCACTGCTGTTTGTGGGCAAGTGTAATTAGAGAGAAGTCTGGAGGCCACATGAACAGGATTTGTGAGGCGGGCAATCCTGCTTCATCTCTTCATACAACCATGGAACTTCAAGTGATTTCAGGATAGTTACTCTAACAACCTGAGACCCCCCCCCCCACCTTTGTTATTTGGTAATACTAGCGTTGCCAAATGTTTCTTAATTTCAGTTCGTAAAAACTAGCCATGTTATATGAGTTAGTAACAGAAGGCATCTAACAGCCTTTTACGGCCTGCAACCCTCCAGATGTATTAGTCTACAGCCCCCATCAACAACTGGTCAGGAAAGAGAAGACTTTGAGGAAGGCTGCAATAGAAACAGCGGTCCTTAGATATTTGAAGGGAATATTAAGATAGGAAAAGAGGCCTTACGGGAGATTTCCCTTGCCCTCCAGTGTTTGGGGAGACACACTGCTATATTTGGGATGGCAAGGACTTCGCTGCAACTGCAACAATAAAACAAAACAAAAGCATTAAAAAAGAATCTTCTTCCTTTCCCTGCTCTTTGCATCGATCCTTTTAAACAATAATATGAAAGCTTAAAAGTAATATAAAAATCAGATTTTTGTGCAGGTGGGATAAAGAAATCATGTGTCATATATCTGAGGGAAAAAAATATAAATCTGTGTATGAGATTCTCTAAAAGATGAGGTCCCCTATGCCAGGGGTCCCCAACCACCGGGCCCCGGACCGGTACCGGTCCGTGGATCATTTTCTACTGGGGTGCCGGTTTGCTGGGCGCCGCCATCTTGTTTCGACGAGAAAGTGCTTCTGGATGAGCTTTTCCGGTTGGAAAGCGGCATTTGGGTCCTGAAGGAATCCTCGTGCCTTAGTTTCATCAAAGGGGGGGGGGGAGCGGCTTCGAACGAAGAGCCGTCCCGATGGCGGAGGAGATTAAGAAAGCACAAAAAAGGTACAACGGAGGAGTTGAAGGTGGCGGGGGATGGCTGGCTGGCCTTGTCATGCGTGCTGATGCCAGTACCGGGCTACGGATCATTTTGTGATGCCGGTACCGGGCCACTGCCCTATGCTACATATTAGCCCAATCTTCATTTTTTGTTGTGGAGATCTTAGGTTGTAAGCCAGAGTTCACCAACCTTTCTGGCTTTGAGGATCAAGGAGGGGAAGGAAGAGGGGAGAAGGGGATGGTTTTACACAAGTGGCTGGCAAGCAACCACACATGCGCACAGCTCCATTTGCGTGAGCGGCGGCACGCAGGCCTGCTGCTCCCACAAATGGAGCTTGCAGACACACACGCACACACACACTCACCCGTTGCTCACACATGTGGGTATGTGCTCACTGTTTCCACGCCCCAGTTCCAAATGACCCATGGCCTAGTGGTGGGCCACACCCTGGGGCTTGGGGAGCCTTGTGGTAAACAACCCCTTAAGATTTGTTCTGTGACAACACTCTGCTTTCTTCCAAGTGTCTCTGACGTAGAAGGGAATCTACTTGTGCAGGAAGTTGCCATCCAGCCCCTTACCCAAGACCTTCTGAAGCATGAGGTAAGAGATTTCCATTAGGTTGAACTTGCACATTTGTTGGTGGAGGGAAGAAGCAATGACATACCTCAGTGCACAACTCTCATAAATGGACACCTTCTACTGCCACTTTAATCCCAGACTGAGAAGCAAAAGAGGGTGTTGTGCTGTCCAGACAGTTTAGAGTTAATGGGATAGTTAGGAATTGTGAACTGTCCCCTTAAGGGAATGCATCATTGGTAAATATAGTTAAGGTATCCTGGGAAATGTAGTCCATGTCATGTGGTCACATCTGTAATCCTGACTGGTCACTAAATTGACCCTTGTTGGGTGGGGGGAGGCTCCCTCACTCTTGCCTGAACATCTATCCCATAGTCACAGAGGCAGGGGGTAGAGCCATGGTGGCAGCTCTACCCCCTGCCTCTGCGACTATGGGATAGAAAGATTAATATCATTTACACTACGATTTCAACTATGCAAAGAATTGGACATCAGATGCATCTCGACATAACTGTGAGTCACCTTGAGGATACATAATATAATCCAATAAAAGAAACTTTGTATGGAAGAATTTGTAGAGTTATTCTATCTGTTTTTATATTCAGCAAGTGAATCATAAAACAGAATAGTAAATGATATTAATCTTTCTATTCCATAGTCACAGAGGCAGGGAGGGGGTAGAGCCAGAGTTTGACAATAATATCTGACAGGAAAAAATATTCTGTTCACACAGCTGTCTCCTAATAAAACAATCTTAGGAGACACAGCTGTCTCCTAACAAAATAATCTTAAAACAAGAACTTGCTTTGTCTCTTGTTAGGATTGCTACATCTTGGACCAAGGTGGTATGAAGATCTTTGTGTGGAAGGGCAAACACTCCAGCAAGGAAGAGAAGCAGCAGGCCCTGTCAAGGGCTTTGGTGAGTCAAGATGTGATTATCTGGATAAATGTCTTTGGGATGGAGGCAAAGTTGGGACCACAACACAAAAGTTTCAGGAATCTTGACCATCCTAGAAGAGGGTTTCCATATTTGTTCTCCTAACTTTTAAAGAGATTCAATTCTTTTGACTCGATCGCCATCCATATTATTTTGAACCAACATATTGCTATTGCAACCTGTCTTTATTCTTTGTGTCCTTTTTCATTTCATAGGATTGGGTAGACATCAATAAAACAAAACAAGAAAGTATATCATATGCAGTGAAAACTTCCTCTATCCCTAATTGTAGGAATTTTTACAAGAATGTTCTTGGTTTGACAGTAAATTCCAGGAAATATTAACTCAGATTCCTCAAAGAATACAAAATGCCTGGCTATGAAATGTTAAGAACAACTACTAATGCTTACTAGAATTAATTGGAGATACTTTATGACACAAAGGAAAATACCATTACGAGGAAGAAAAATTATGTTTAGATAAAAAGATAATCTTGAGCCCCGCCCCCAAATGAATAAAAAACCCATAAATATTAAAATAGTTGCCTTTTTTAAAAAGAAAACAATCCATGGTTTATTTTAATTTCTTGTGGCATGATACCTGAATTATAATTCATCAAATAATTCTAAATATATGCTTTATTGAAAGCGATTTTTTCTGTTATAAAGAAGTTTCTATTTTAGATAATTTAGTGGAGACCAGTAAGTTCTCTTGAATGAAACTGTTGGCTCCCTATGAAAAAGAAGAATATGATTCCTATTGTGAATATTCCTATTTTCCATTTCAGGGTTTCATCAAAGCAAAAAACTACTCACCTACCACTAGTGTGGAGACCGAAAATGATGGCTCTGAATCGGCCGTTTTCAGGCAGCTGTTTCAGAAATGGACCATTCACAGTCAAACCACTGGCTTTGGGAAGACTCATACAGTTGGAAAAATAGGTAAATGCTGGAGTCTGTACACAGCAGAGGAGCAATTAGGCAGAGGCAACTTCTGTCAAGTATGGACTCAGCCCTTCCTTACTACAGGTTCTTTGCCGGCATGATTATATTGTAGCATTCAGAATAATAGAACAATAGCTAGAGGGTAACAAACAGTAGAGGACTTATATTAAAGTACCTTGTCACATATTCCATCCATACAATCAAAGCCTGTTCCATCTTGTTGCTACCTACTCTCATGCAATAAACTGAACTTGCACCAAAGAGCTGATCTATCCGTTAACCTTCTGTCTCCCCCTAACAACAGCCAAGGTGGAGCAAGTGAAGTTTGATGCCACGAGTTTGCATGCCAGGCCAGAGTTGGCTGCTCAACACAAAATGGTTGATGATGGTTCTGGAGAGACGCAGGTAAAGAATATATTTGTTTTCCTAAAAAACTCATAAAATAGAGCATCTGTATCAGTGATTCCACTAGTTGAGGAGTGGCAACATTTATGCCATGTAGGTACAAAGACTTACCCAGTAAAGGAGGAAAGTATACCACTTGATAATCTGGGATTAGTATCAGTCCATGGACCAATTGATTGCTTTGAAATAAAGAACCTTCTTTATTCCAATCTCATCAGCAAGATTTGTTGTACTATAAAGTTAGAATCTGTTAGATTCATTGAAGACAGTTTGATAAAAATATAGGAATAGAAGGTCTTAGCAAAATAACAAACTTCTACACTAATCCGGGAGATAATCAAGCATCTGCAGTAAGGAAGCCATTGGTTTAATTCTAAGTTCATTTATTCCAGGGGTGTCCAACCTTTCACCTTCCCTGGGCCACATTAGAAGATGAAAATTTGGTTTGGGCCGCACATAATTAAATTAAATAATTAATTAAATAATTAAATTAAATTAAATTAATAAATAAAATAAAATTATTATTTATTATTTATTAAAAAAATTTATTTTTTATTTTCCGGCCAAATTTTGCGGGGGGGGGGGGGGGA